TTTACTATGACTCTCCTTGCTGGAAAGAACATACACTTGAACTGCTTTTCAAATGTAATACTATACTGTTGTTAACATGTTGTACACCAGCTTCCTTCCTTTGTGGATTCTAAAACAATTTTTGGAAAGAAAATTGGGGGTAGAGAGAGGGATCTTTAGGTTGAACTTACATATAAAGGTGAATCCATAAACTCGTGTGTTGAAGGCTTTCACCTGCATTCTGGTAGATGGATGGTCCCCTTTTTCTGTATACATAGTTTTGAAGAAAAGCAAAAGTCATATTGTAAAAGAAGAAAAGACGAAAACATAATGAATTTTACGTGGTAATTTATCATTCCAGATTGTCTTATGTGAGAGAGGGAGTCATCTGAAATAGGAAGAAAGGCCAATGCCAAATGCCCCCCTAGGGGTTGGGAGTGCGCAGGTGGCCAGGCTTGCGGGACCCCGGTTTGGTTCCGTGGACTTCATCCCTGCAGGAGACGATTGTGGTGACCGCCTTATGTTTCCCTTGTGTCTTTTTTCAGAAGACCCGAGTAACAAGCATGCTACTGAGATGGAAAACATGAAATCCTTGGTTCATAGACTGTTCACAATCTTGCATTTAGAAGAGTTTCAGAAAAAGAGAGAGCAGGATTTACTGGATAAAATTGACCACCTGAAAGAACAGCTGCATCCCCTCGAACAGGTTAGGAAGCAGCGTAGTTGAGTCTATTTGAAAATAAGAGCTAGTATTTATTGAGTGCTCCTCCTGTGCATGTTTTTCTGAATGCTTTACATATTCTCATTTTCTCCTTTAATTCTCAAAAAAAAATCTGTGAATTCAGTACTGTTATCTTTCTCATTTTTCAGATGAGTAAACTGAGCAACAGAAGTCTTATTAACTAATATATGGTAGAGCCTGAGCTTGAACTCAGGGGGTCTGACTTCAGAGCTGCCACCTTAAACTCTGTGCTATGCCTCCTCTCCATGTTACAATGTCTCTGTAAATGGGTATAATATGAGGGGGGACGCACTAGCTGGAGTTCTACCTCAGTTTCTTATTTTAGAGAATAGGCCAAGGGCCCCTGCTCTGCTTACCAGAATTGCAACTGGAAAGTTGGTAATGGCTTT